AGTAATTTTATTATAAAATTATCTTCTACGCAAACGAAGGAGGCATGTGCTCCTAAAATATATGTAAGAATAATCTACAGTATTAATTTGATGATATTTATACGTATTGAGTTACAATTTAAATTATTCAATGATAGTTTCAGACGATATACACTATATGAATTTTCAATTTTATATTCCATAATTTTTTACTTATTGCAATTACTTAGCCATTTGTAAAATTATATACCGGTACATACATTATTAATATTGGTACATATTAGTATACAGTATGATATTAGCATAATATACGGTTATATATTAAGCCTTCAAGTTGATCTGCCAACAGTTTAATAAGTTATAGCTTAATGATAATGCCAGTATTTTTGTAGTTGTACTTTCCCTGTGCTGCATTCCATTACGATGAAATGTAAAAGACTCAATCGAAAACCTTACTTCCGACAATGAGGGCGATTCGTGGAATTCCGCATTGCTGTCTACTACACAACTTTTAGGGAAAGATTATCAAAAAAAATTGTATTTACCTTTTCATTAACTTTCGAATAGTTGTAAAACATAGGCCTATGTACATTAAACTTTTACAAGAATAACGAATGGAGTGTTGATACAGAAATTAACACATGTTGAACTAGGGTCATTTGGGTGTAAGCCAAACATATTCAGGTATATCCCCATATTCAGATAAAATTATTAACCATTATGTGTAGGTAACACGAAAGCTTGTCTTTTACTTTGATTTTAAAAGACATACCCATTGAGAATGAAGTAATAATAATCTGAGGCAGTAGGCTGAACCGCCGGCGTAGCTTTACAGCTGTCGATTCTGAGGTGTAGGCTTGAATTTGCGGCCTTTGCCGAGAAGTAGAGTCGCTCACGGAGCACTACATGTGCTGGGTAGTCCAGCATCGTGTATGGCACTAAGAAATTTTCATCATGACATAGAGCCAGCCCAAAGTTTAAGGAAGCCGTCCGACGAATGTTAAAGATGATGGGAGATGTATCAGGGTCGAATACTGCATGAATAATGCCGTCTGAATAAACATCACAGACGATATTTATTTGAATTTCCCGCTCACGTGTGATACTTGTGCTGGTGATAGGAAGCGGCTCGGAGAAAACTGTATTTCGATATTTGATGCCATTAGATTTTACCTATATGAAAGAATATTAGATCTGTCAATCTTCTCATTATTACTGGAAACAATTTCAAACGCAAATATACTTTTATTTGGATAAAATTAAAGTAATAAAATATACAGTAAGAAATGCAAATTGAAACAAATATATTGCATGGAAGGAGGCTACAATATGTTCTGCAAGAAGAACCCACAGAACTTATGGCGTGGTACCATTTACTTAATTTAATCTAAACTAATAGAATCACAGAAATGACATACCAATAAATTTATATTTAAATTAAACTTATCAGAACCAATAAAATTATAATAATTGTAGTCCAGTTTTATATACGTACAAGACCAAGACTCAAGATCAAACACATTATTTTTAAGGCTCAAATAGCAATGGAAGGAAGAGAGGGTAAAAGACTTCTAAGGTGGTATTTAAAACTATTGAATGTGAATTTGTTTTTAGTAACCATAGAATTATCATCTTGTTCATCAGCAAAGGTTTTGTCGCGTCATCTTGCATTTGCAAAAAACAAACTGGATTGGTTTGTACCTTTTTATATACTTTACATAACAAATAAATAAAACCTGCGGAATATAGGCACTTCTATAATAGTTATATTCCTGTTCCTGTCATTAAAAAGTTGTTAATTATTATAGCAACTATCAAGTCAAATCTCTTAATCTATCATCTTAACGCCCTGAATTAATAGCAACTGATATTAAAGTTAGTTAAGAGTTTAAGCACTGTGGAAACACAGAACCACTGAGATTTGTCTACTTTATACCCTACTTTCAGAATACTACCATTTAAACAATGTCCATGTCAAAGCAGAGGGAGAGAGAGATTGCCTGTCGGTGTTCATTAATGACGCTAAACTCCAAATGTTGTCAATTTCTAATATTTATTGACTACAACGAAAAATATTTTTTTTAATGAGCTGAAATGGCTGGAATAGGCTTATCTTACGACGGTAGGCGATGGGACAGTTTTATGCGATCGTTCTGCTCTTCAATATAAATTTAAAAGTGGCTTTTGCTGTATTTTTGTGTATTTTCTACTTTTTAGGGAGTCACTGTACGCCATACCTTTGTGATTGTTCCACACAAGTTATAACTCGATTCCATTAGTATTACACTTTCGTTGGAATAGGAACCTCTGCAATCCGGATCATTAAAATGTAAATGACTAGGCAGTACATTCCCTACAATGGACCTAGGAACGTAAACCCGAAGTCCGAAGCTAGTGCACTCAGCTACCGGTGCCGTAATCGGAGCAGGGGTTGCAATGGTGGTCGTAGGTAATAAGGTTGTGGTTGGTGCCAGAGTTGTTGGAGCCTCGTCTAATTTATGATAAAATATTCAATATCAATAAATGCAAGCCTATTTATACTGCAGGACATGGGCCAGTAGAAAGTTCATCATGATTATCAGTGTATGTCTATTACAAAATTCGGGATCTCTAAAACTAATTTTAATAGGTGAGTTTACAAAAATATCTAACCCCCTTCTTTAACCCAACTTTTGTTCTAATAAGATCGTTGATGAATATTGTAGGTATCTATAAATGATTTTTGGAGAAGCGAAGCTTTGTTATAAATAGGATAAAAGCATAATTAACCAATCAACCAACAGGTTGAAGGAAACTGGTGCAAACAGTGTGACAAATTTATTGGGTATGACACGCCTAAGTCATTCTTTTTTATCAAGTAATAAGCTATAAACATTATAATGATTTTTGGGAATAGAAATTGTACCTGTGGCGAAGAACCATCGGCCACCGTCATTAGGCCTTACAACTGAACATGGATCGTTGTAACGACCCAGAACTACCCCAGAGTCAACCTCTATGGCATAAGTACGCTCACTTTGTAGGTTTAAACCAGTGATATTTATTGTTAGCATCGTGTTGTTGTGCTCGGGAAATTGCACACGGTTGGATCGTGACGTATCGTATCGAGATATAACCCGCTCTTCACCGTTGGCAAGAAATTTTATAATTCGCACATAACTGGATAATTCAGGTTTTCGAATCTAAATTTCAAAGAAAGAGAACATCGATGTGTATGGATTAAATGACAGATTAAGTAAATGAGGAAACTTATATTAATTAATGGAACAGGATACAGGTACAGTTGCAGTTTACCGTACATAAATATCATATTTTATATAATAATATAATAACAAAACCAATGGTATACCTCGCTGTCAAAAACCAAGATCAACTCGTCAGTAGCGGCACTGATTGGGGTTCGAGGGTTGGGTACGGACTGCTGTGGCAACAATGAGGGCGGACTTCGAATTATTTCGTCTATAAATATTTTAAAATATAAACAATATTATAACATGTTAAAATATTGGGCTATGCCTACTACATAATGCGATACCGGTACCGTTTCATCCTAACTTATATGTATTCACGGAATTGGATTTATTCGGTGTGAGGAACGCGAAAAATTATTTCCAGTGGGGGTCTTTTTTTGTGGTGATTGAGCAGTACACCGAAAGACAATTCCTTACTTTTTTAAGCGCCTATAGACCATTTTCCACATGAGACTAACTGCTTAATTCTTCCGGATGAGGGTGCGTATTTACATTATTTATTTATATATTATTATATATCATTAATTCAACATATACAGAAAACATTCGACGCATCCTTGTTCATTGAAAAAGACAAAACAATGAAGTACAAAAAGACAGGTTAGTGGCAGTACTTGTTACTTCAGTCCTTTGGCTGAAACCCAAAGAGGGTAGACAATGGAATTTAAACGGGAAAGGTTGACAATGGATATCCACGGTGGCTACCACCAACGTATTTAGCTGACTGAAATATGCTGGCTTGAGTATTCTTAAGTGAAGAGTAATCTTACTACGCCCTCAGACCAATTCATTCAAGCTTGCTTACCAGTAACAACCAGTGTAACGCATTGCTGATCAGTTGATACTCTGAAAGAGATAATATTCAATACAAAGCGTAAATTTTTAGTTTAGGATTAGAGCGGCCTCACTAACGGTAATCATCACGGAAATACAGTGTAAATGTAAACATTAGCCTATGTGTTTTATTATGCACATGAACCAACAAAATACAATCAGCTGCTTTTTCTACATCTAGATGTGTATAAGAGACAGTATATATACACATACACACATATACATACATATATAATTATATATATATGCATATATATACATATATACACATACGCATATATATATATATATACATATATACATTAGCCTATGTGTTTTATTATGCACATGAGCCAATAAAATATAATCAGCTGTTTTTTCTTTACAAAAGTAGTAGATTATATATTATATATATATGATTATATAATATGCATATACATACATATATATGCATATATACATATACGTATATATGCATATATATACATATATATACATATATACGCATATATACGCATATATATACACACATGTATATGTATATATAAATATATTATATATATATATATATATATACATATATAATAGTAATTGTTATTGTCGTGATGAAATAGACAATAACTGGATTTGCGTCAGGAGAAACATGTATTGGTGTAATTTTGCCCTACCTGACGTGAAATGTACTGAATACTCAGTACGTTTAAAAACAATTGAGAAAAAAAATTGTCTATTTCTTCACGACAATAACAGTTACTATCAACACTGCAGTACCCGCTGCTTACTTAAACTCGAATTCAACCCTGGCCATCAGGCGCAAGCTCGGTGGTCTAGAGGCATCATGCCTGGCTAGTGATCGTGAGATCGTGGGTTTGAGTCCCACCCGAGAACAACTTTCGATTTTTTTCGCAATTGTTTTTAAACATACTGAGTATTGAGTACATTTCACGTCAGGTAGGGCAAAATTACACACACACACACACACACACACACACACACACACACACACACATATATAT